GTGAGTCTAACTGATATTATTGATGATAGAACTGTGTTAAAGCCTAGTTGACAACAGTTGACATTTTTAAACGTTAATAATAAAACCGTGAAACTTTGCATAGAATTTTTGTTCTTAACTTAACAAAGACTTCACTATAAATTATTTGCCCTTAACTATTACATCTTAACTTCTCTGAAGAAACGTTCAGCATCAAAACTAGCGAATTTACTTTTTACATAGTCTACAAAACCCTCTGTTTCTTTAGTTCGCGGTACTGTACGACTTATTGAATTACGAGTCTTTAAATGCGATATACTAGACTTACTTATTTTTGCCTCAAGTGCTGGTGGATACTCTTTGATAAAATCTATAATAGATTTATAATCTTTAAAACAATCATCTGGTAAACCAAAACGATTTTCAACAGTCAGAGCAAAACTAGCTTTTACAAAATTTCTGATAGCTGTTTCGATATTTGTTTTATATGTTTTTGAAGGCAGTTTATTAAAACTATTCTTGACAAATACCGGAGTATTCACAGTTTCGTTCAACAATCTTATTTTTCTATAAGATTCCACGTCTGTTCATGGTCTCGTGTCTTTAAAGTTTGATTCTTTAGAATCTTCTAAAATACAACGTTTGTTATCAAAATCTAAACTAAATCTACGATCTTTGTATTTTATAATTACATTGTGTCCATATTTATAAACATCTTTAGCACTTCTTAAACTAGTTTGGATAAAATCGAAATCGTTAGAAATATTCTTATCGTTCATTATACGGCTAAACTCTTTTATTAAGAAAGCTTTTTCTAAAAACCTTGCTTGAAAACCGGTAGCTGCTGATATTCCTCCGTCAGTAAACCCTAATTGCCCCCTAGTTTTCCATGATATTAAACCGGTTAATTCTTCGTTTTTAATTTCCAGTCCTCGTACATCAGTTTCTTGTCCTTCGATATTAGTTAATATTCCTCTTATCCCTCTGTATAAATAAAGACAGTTTAGATTACGCTTATTTAAACTTAATAATTTACTTTCAAGGTCTTTGACATCTGAAATAAAACCGTCTGTCGTAACCGAAACTACTCTACCTCCCAATATTTCTATATTATGTAAACATTCTCCTATTAAAGCTCTTGTAAAACCGGTGATGTAGCTTGATAAAATCGGATTTGATAAAACCCCTCCTTCTAATCTAACATAAGTTTGCGATTTAATATCAAAATTAGTTTTTCCGCTAAGACCCATTGAAACTTGTCCGTAGATAGAATTACCTATTTCTTTATACATTAAATTATAAAAACTCTTCTTCGGGTGTTCCCGTCTTTTTGATTGTAAATCTTTTATAATATTTCGAAATGGTGTGGGGTAGTCTAAATCATAGCTATACTCTGTATTACCTCTAACACCTTCGTCATTTTCATTCTTTTTATTATCAGTATCTGTTTTACGATCTTTTTCTCTACTTATAAAAGGTATTTTTACACCGTCTTTCACGATTAATTCACAACCCACCGATCTAGCTACTAGATATTCGCTACCCGTGATAATACTTCTTCCTCTCAAAGGGTAAATTTCAGCGTTGTCATCTACCCTACATGGTATACTAGGATACTTAGTTCCTGGTTTAAATATAAACTCTACTTCTAAAATTATGTAATTAAACAAAAGATCTTCTGCTGTCATCTCGAGTACGGATTTCTCGCTTAGTCTACAAGCTTTATCAACATCTGGCTGACCTAAAATAGACATTACTGTCGTATAACAACTCGTCAAATCATAATCTACCCAGCTACGTTCTTCTGCAGTTTTTATTATATCGACCCCGTACATCATAGACTCATTACGCCCACCTCTTGAACCTGCTATATAATTTATTAAATACTTAGATAATAGGGTCCCACGAGCGTCTTTTGGAGTTATACGTCTCATCAAATTTCCTAAGTAAATATCATCACGTACTTGATAACCCTTGTAATTTTCTCTCCTCCATTCTTTAATTACATAAGCTTTACCAATCCCTGATAATGTTAGAGGTACCCCGGTTTTATCCACAGTCAGATTAAATTCTTCCATACTAATAGCGTGCTTATGAGTGATTACCGCGTCTCTTACTCCATATTCCTCACACAAACTTTTATTATCTTTTAACAAAGCTTTCATCAGACCGTACCTATACTTACCGATGTCTATTTTCTTATAATCATTACCATAGATGTAACCGAGTGCTGCTAGACTCTTACTTCCTTGAGGAGCGAGTAAATTGTATCTCTAATATGTACATTACTTTTACAAAAATCTAACTTCAAGGGTTTCCCTCTAGTCACAAACGATCTACCTACAATGTCTAATAATTCTTTAAAATCTTCAAAACCAGTCAACATCGATAAATCAGCTGTCGATTCGTGCATACATAGATAAAGTGTACGATTAAGACTTATGTTAACCCTTGATTTATTATCGTTGAATTTAAAAGTAATTCGAGATCTTGGTTTATTAACACTCTTTTTAATACAAGCTTTCATCTTATCAGAAACTTCTTTTTCCTCAAAAGCCAAACTGTTCAACATATTCATAAAGTTTAAAACATTGTTAAAATGCTCAACGTTTTTCAAATTCTCAGAATTTATTATTAAATCTTTGTAAGAATAATCACTTAAAAATTTAAAACTTGTTTCAACAGAACTTTTTGGATAATTATAAAGGTTAAAACCTATCATCTCGAATTTTACAACGCCTTCCAAAGTCTCGAATTTTAATCTCAGTTTTTCTAATAGCTTATCATTTTCTAGATATGCTTTATTTCTTATATCCTTAATTAATTTATCTATGCTTCTGCAACAAAGTTTTATGTAAGTGTCTTCATCCTTTAAAATACTTCCTTTTATTTTAAAATCTTCTATCTCAATAGCTTTATTATCCAAAACAGGTATTTTGACATAAAATCCTGTACTACCCGCTAACTGTATTGATAATAATTCATTAACCATTTCTAACGAAGATTTTAATTCGTATTCACTATCATAACCGGTTATAATGCTTAAGTTTAGGTTAATACCTTTATTTGATAATTTGTTTATCAGAACTGGGTTAAGCATTCTTCTTAAACTGGCCCGGAGGTTTTTAACATCCTCTGTTAAATCACCTATTAATTCTTCATTAGAATCTTCTTCATCATTAGAATCTTCATCATTCTTATTTTCTAACCATATTTCTATCTCAAGAACCAACATTTTTAATAATAGTAAAATCAGATTATAAAACATGGTGTTTAAAACTAAAGAACCTTCGAATTTATCCAAGGGCTGTTTCTCGTTAATATTCTTAAAAACCAATTCTTTTAATAACCATTCTACTATCGGTAGATTTAAAGAAGGGTCGTTGACATAACCATTATCACTCAATCTATTCAACTTAAGAAATAATTTTTCTAAATTAGGAATCAATACTCTAAGATAATTAATATCCTTTATTTCTAAATCACGTAATTTTACCAAACCATCTTCAATAATTAGAATATCTGCCAGGAATTTAAAGTCAAAATTAGTATTTGTAATTGTATTTGTATTTGTAGCTTTATCATTTTAAAATTTATCTTATTTAATTTTGTTTAGTTTTGTTCACCGATTAACAAGCTCCTAATTAACAGGTAACTCAATCATAATATTACGAGTGTTTATTAAACCCACTAGCTTACATCTCACTAATTTCGTATACGTTAGACAACGCCTTAATAACACTGATCGTAATTCGTTTATATCATATCTATTAATTGGTATTAATTCTAAATTAAATGGTGAACTTGTTCTGTAGATCTTGCTAATAAGATTCTTTCAAGGGGTGGTTAAAAATTAGATTGGGCTGCTAACCCGTTAAGTTTTAACATCATGAATTGAACACTGCTTACCCTTTCCAAAAAGATTCCTACCTAACCGCAACTTGACAATTATCTCTAATCGCTGCAATCTAACAGAAAAGGCGAACTTCTAATAAATACCCGAACCGACTGAAATACTGAACAGCCGGACTATCCTCTGTCTAAATACCTACTAGAAATTTATGACACTTGGAAAATTGTGTCTTTTTCAGATCTTTCGGTATTTAGCCCTTTCGTTGATAACGATTTTTAGTTTGAAAAGTAATCAAACACCCTGCTGGTAAAACCAACCCACCCAGAGGATAAGTTATTAATTTAAAAAATATTGTATTTATTAGCATGGCTAATAAATGCTTTAAATATAAATTATTAACTTTGTAATAAATACCATATTTTCAACACCCTTAATCTTTTGTCCGCTTCCAGTAGATGCATAGACGAGTGCATGGTGTTGACTTTTGCTAGACGCAGAAAAAACTCGAAATTTTGTGAGTCTAACTGATATTATTGATGATAGAACTGTGTTAAAGCCTAGTTGACAACAGTTGACATTTTTAAACGTTAATAATAAAACCGTGAAACTTTGCATAGAATTTTTGTTCTTAACTTAACAAAGACTTCACTATAAATTATTTGCCCTTAACTATTACATCTTAACTTCTCTGAAGAAACGTTCAGCATCAAAACTAGCGAATTTACTTTTTACATAGTCTACAAAACCCTCTGTTTCTTTAGTTCGCGGTACTGTACGACTTATTGAATTACGAGTCTTTAAATGCGATATACTAGACTTACTTATTTTTGCCTCAAGTGCTGGTGGATACTCTTTGATAAAATCTATAATAGATTTATAATCTTTAAAACAATCATCTGGTAAACCAAAACGATTTTCAACAGTCAGAGCAAAACTAGCTTTTACAAAATTTCTGATAGCTGTTTCGATATTTGTTTTATATGTTTTTGAAGGCAGTTTATTAAAACTATTCTTGACAAATACCGGAGTATTCACAGTTTCGTTCAACAATCTTATTTTTCTATAAGATTCCACGTCTGTTCATGGTCTCGTGTCTTTAAAGTTTGATTCTTTAGAATCTTCTAAAATACAACGTTTGTTATCAAAATCTAAACTAAATCTACGATCTTTGTATTTTATAATTACATTGTGTCCATATTTATAAACATCTTTAGCACTTCTTAAACTAGTTTGGATAAAATCGAAATCGTTAGAAATATTCTTATCGTTCATTATACGGCTAAACTCTTTTATTAAGAAAGCTTTTTCTAAAAACCTTGCTTGAAAACCGGTAGCTGCTGATATTCCTCCGTCAGTAAACCCTAATTGCCCCCTAGTTTTCCATGATATTAAACCGGTTAATTCTTCGTTTTTAATTTCCAGTCCTCGTACATCAGTTTCTTGTCCTTCGATATTAGTTAATATTCCTCTTATCCCTCTGTATAAATAAAGACAGTTTAGATTACGCTTATTTAAACTTAATAATTTACTTTCAAGGTCTTTGACATCTGAAATAAAACCGTCTGTCGTAACCGAAACTACTCTACCTCCCAATATTTCTATATTATGTAAACATTCTCCTATTAAAGCTCTTGTAAAACCGGTGATGTAGCTTGATAAAATCGGATTTGATAAAACCCCTCCTTCTAATCTAACATAAGTTTGCGATTTAATATCAAAATTAGTTTTTCCGCTAAGACCCATTGAAACTTGTCCGTAGATAGAATTACCTATTTCTTTATACATTAAATTATAAAAACTCTTCTTCGGGTGTTCCCGTCTTTTTGATTGTAAATCTTTTATAATATTTCGAAATGGTGTGGGGTAGTCTAAATCATAGCTATACTCTGTATTACCTCTAACACCTTCGTCATTTTCATTCTTTTTATTATCAGTATCTGTTTTACGATCTTTTTCTCTACTTATAAAAGGTATTTTTACACCGTCTTTCACGATTAATTCACAACCCACCGATCTAGCTACTAGATATTCGCTACCCGTGATAATACTTCTTCCTCTCAAAGGGTAAATTTCAGCGTTGTCATCTACCCTACATGGTATACTAGGATACTTAGTTCCTGGTTTAAATATAAACTCTACTTCTAAAATTATGTAATTAAACAAAAGATCTTCTGCTGTCATCTCGAGTACGGATTTCTCGCTTAGTCTACAAGCTTTATCAACATCTGGCTGACCTAAAATAGACATTACTGTCGTATAACAACTCGTCAAATCATAATCTACCCAGCTACGTTCTTCTGCAGTTTTTATTATATCGACCCCGTACATCATAGACTCATTACGCCCACCTCTTGAACCTGCTATATAATTTATTAAATACTTAGATAATAGGGTCCCACGAGCGTCTTT